CTCTTGGGCATATACCCAAGGAATGCTTAATCATACCACAAGGGCACTCAGCTATGTTCATATCAGCATTGTTTGTAATAGCCAGAACCTGGAAACAACCTAGATGCCCTTCAATTGAAGAACGGATAAATAAAATGTGGTACATATACACAATGGAATACTACTCATCAGAGAAAAACAATGATATCATGTGGTTTGCAGGCAAATGGATGGATCTAGAAAAAAATCATCCTGAGTGAGGTAACCCAGACTCAGAAAGACAAACATGGTATGTACTCACCCATAGGAGGATACTAGATGTAAAACAAAGATGACTAGACTGCTACTCACAACTTCAGGGAGGCTACCTAGAAAACAGGACCCTAAGAAAGACACAGGGATCGCCCAATGACAGAGAAATGGATGAGATCTACGTGAACAACCTGGTTGTGAATGAGGGTAATGAAGGGCAAAATGCTAGAGAATGAGAGCCTAAGGGAGTGGGAAATCCCAGCTGGATCAAGAACAGAGAGGGAGAGCAAGAAATAAGAGACCATGATAAATGAAGACCACACAAGACTAGGAAGAAGCAAAGTGCTAGAGAGGTCCACAGAAATCCAAAGATACCTCCACAATAGACTATGGGCAATGGGTGACCGAACTGACCTACTCTGGTGATAGGTTGGCCAAACACCCTAATTGTCGAGCTAGAAATCTCATCCAATGACTGAGGGAACTGGATGCAGACATCCACAGCCAGGCCCCAGGTGGAGCTCCAGGAGTCCAATTCGCGAGAAAGAGAAGGATTTGTATGAGCGAGAATTGTTGAGACCACGATTGGAAAAAGCACAGGGACAAATAGCCAAATGAATGGAAATACATGAACTATTAACCAATGGCTGAGGGGCCCCCAACTGAATCAGGCCCTCTGGATAAGTGAGACAGTTGATTGGCTTGAACTGTTTGGGAGGCACCCAGGCAGTGGGACCAGGACCTTTCCTCAGTGTATGAGCTGGCTGTTAGGAACCTGGGACGTATGCGGGGGACACTTAGCTCAGCCTGGGAGGAGGTGAGGTGACTGGACCTGTTTTGACTGAATCTACCAGGTTGAACTCAATCCCCAGGGGAGTCTTTGCCCTGGAGGAGATGGGAATGGGGGGTGGACTGGGGGAAAGGTGGGTGGGGGGAGAGGGGGGCTGGGAGGGGGGAGGACAAGGGAATCCATGGCTGATATGTAGAATTAAATTAACTTATAAAATAAAATTTAAAAAAGTCTCCATCAAGAGGTCCATGGAATATCCCAAAGTTCGTGCTTTAGGATGTTGATTCAAACTGGGAGATGTGGTGGGAAAATTATGCCACATAGAGAATAGATTCTGTAGAGTTCAGTTATAGTAAAGGAATTTTGAAAGAGACTCACTGACCAGAGCTGCTCAAATTTTCATCATCAAACTGTTGTGGACAATGTTTGAAATAATTTTTGCTCAAATTTTCTGGGGTTCCTCATTTCTAAGAAGGTGTCTAGTGGTGCAGTCGGTGTTCTAAGCACACCAGTGTGTGTAGACTTTTCATTAAAGAAATCGAGAAAGATCCTTTGGTGGATAGTTTAAGACAGTATCTAAGAAAACCGAAATATTATTATTATTTCTGAAGGGGAGAATGAACACAGAAATGCCATGGAGAAAATGTAATTCAATGAGTTTTTTTTTTTTAATCATCAATTCCACATCTATTCTATCTACATGTTTGGAGACTTAATCTGTACAGTTGTATCAACACCAAATGAAAAGGAAGGGAATTTACTTATAAGATCAATTTACAAAAAGGAAATAATGTGCTGGGAAGATTACATAGTGGAACTGAAGATAGGAAGTGTCTTATTTTGCTTTCTGTTGTTGTGGTAAACACCATGACCATGAGCAACTCAAGGAGGAAAGGGTTTATTTGGCTTACATATCCCTGCTCGCTGCCCATCAAGGGATGGGTGCCAAGGCCAGTCCCTGGAGGCAGGAACTGTAGTAGAAGCCATGAAAGAATGCTGATTATGGACGTGCTCTTCCTAGCTTACTCAGTTTGCTTTATTATATACCCCAGGAGTGGCTCTACTCGCAGTGGGGCTGGGATGTTCCATATCAATCAGTAGTCAAGAAACTGCTCCACAGGCTTGCCTGCAGGAAAATCTGATGAGGGCATATTATCAACTGAGGTTCCCTCTTCTCAAGACTCTATCTTGTGTCTTGTGTCATGTTGATTTAAAACAAACAAACACAGGAATAAATAAGTAACATATGCAAATTTAGAGTTAATGATAAGGAACTGTAGGGAAACCATCTCAGAAATCTTTGATATATGTTGATTCAAATGAAAATGAGATTATTGCTATTATATGAGTGATTGGAACCAAGAGGGAGTGAGAGTCATGTGGTGAACTACAGCACTCGGTTATCTCTGTAAATGTAAGGTATCAAAGATGTAGATTATAATGATCTTAGGGATTCAGAAGAGATTTATTTAAATGCAGAATCATCATCTGGTTTTGAAATAATAGCTAACTTCCTTATAGGATTGTTAATTGATGAAATTCTACTTGACTGTTTCTATGCTTCACCAAGTAATATAATTGTAAAAAAAGGACATACATGGTTATTTATTGAATACATAACATCTCTAATATTAAGCACTACTCTGATTTGAGATGTAGCAAATCAGTACTTTATTATTCTTTGGTGACAACTTTGTTTTTTGTTTGACAATCATATCTCACAAAGTGATTTTTAATGAACTATTTTTGTAGTTGTTGGTTCACACACACAAACACACACACACACACACACACACACACACATATATATTAACTTTGAGATATATTCACACTCTTGTATCCTCCCTTTTCTTATAGTTTGGGTTCACATATATTATGAAAAGCATTTACCAAAAAGACACATATACTGCAAAAAGGAAATAAAGTCTAAATGTCTAAATAGTAGTCCACATATGTGTCCATTGAGGAGAATCTTTATGCAATGTCATTCTGCACATGAATACCTGCACTGATCAAATTTCAAAACTACAATATGTAAATCATTTACATCTTTGAAGTTTTAAAGTTGACTGGTGGTGCAGAAATTAGAATATGATGTGGAGAACATGAATAGCTCTTATAGTGTTGTTTGAATGTCTCTTAAATGTTTCATTAGAGATATGTGCTGACCCATTCAGTTATTAACTTCAATGAAGGAAATGCCTCCTCATGTCATGATTTCTTCCTAAAACTGCAGATCAGATTTCTTTCAATCAGTTAACAATCTCACATAGGAATATATGCTTTTCCTACAAGATCATATTCTTTTGCATAATTTTAAGTATAATTTACAACTATGGTTTAATTTTGTTCATTGGATTTCTGCATGTTCCTTAGTTGTCTAAAATAAAACAAAGTAAAAATTCATTAAAAGAAAATTAAATAGCTATTACCAAGTGATCTGTGATGATTATTTTTCATACTAACTCTTCATAAATATAGAGTCAATATTGCCATATTTGTGTTTAATTGACTATGTTTCTTGAACATTTCAGAATTTTCTAAGAAATGCCCTCAATCAAAGGTAGTTACTTTTAATTTTATTCTGAATCATTAATTTCATATTCTATTACTGGCACAAGAACCATTAAATATCTTTTTTTTTAAAAATTCATACAGCCTACCATTGTAAAGGAAGAATCTCTTCCAAAGGAGGCCTGGGATATGACTCCAGTGAAATCATTTTTAGCAGGTAAATTTTGTAATGTTAATTTCTATGGGACAAGTACCTCAAAATATTTGAAATGCTCACAGTCTCCTCATTACTGTCCATATTCTCCAAATTTCATTGAAGAATTTGAAGTAAATAAAGCAGTTATTGGTGTTAATCTGAATGTTTCAAGAAAGGTATTTGCTACTTCAAGGTAATTTGTTTAAAGTTGATAACAAATCATTTATATCTTCTTTTATGTGTCTTTATTGTGGTGATATATTTTTCTAAAAATATCTCATGCTTTCAAGGGGACTGAATTTTTGCCAGACCCTATAGTCAAATTAATAATATGCCTTGAGGCCAGGTGGTGGTGGCACACACCTTTAATCCCAGCACTCAGGAGGCAGAGTCAGGCGGATCTCTATGAGTTTGAGGCCAGCCTGGTCTGCAGAGTGAGTTCCAGGACAGGCACCAAAACTACACAGAGAAATCCTGTCAAAACAACAACAACAACAACAACAACAAATATGCCTTGAGATCATCTAAGACTATATATTCAACCTACTATTCTACCATGTACTAAGCCTGTTTAACAGGCCAAGAAATGCTGGAAGTAACATGTAGATATAGATCAATGACATCTGCATATGGTTTCAAGTGCTTTTTGGGGTTAGTTGAGGCCAACTTGAGCATATGAGATCTCAAAGCCCGCCCCCACAGTGACACACTTCCTCCAACAAGGCCACACCTCCTAATAGTGCCATTCCCTATGTGTTCTTCAAAGAGGAGTCAATGGGGGCCATTCCCATTCAAACCACCACAGGCAGGCAACGGGGACACATTAGTAACACACAACAGGCAGACTACCGATAATTCAGTAATCACAAATTACAGAGGGAAGACAGGGAGAGAAGCAGAAATGTCAAATTTGGGTTCACTCTTGGTTAAACTCCTCCAAGAAGAAATTTCTGTTTTCATGCCTTAAAGGGACATGGGCACATTTTTCATGTCCCACTCAGAGGTTTCTCTAGTCCATAACCAAGACAATTATATCTATGTTTCTATTATAAAGTCTTCTTAGATCCTAGGAAAACACCATGCAGGTCTAAAAGAGAGCTGAAAACAAAGGCCTGGTGTTTCAGTCATAAGAGTGGTCAGGAATGCAGCCATAAAGTAAACAACCCTGAACTGTCATTGTTTCCTATTCTGCTTCAAATTTAATACTGGAGGAAAAATATATCAATTATACGTTAAATTCAATAAAATTATAGCAAATAATTTGGACAGAGACTTCTTTAGCAGACTAGTTCTTTCTAATTTTTCTGTGGAAAGTCGATTTATTTTTAATTTTGACAGCCTATTTCATAGTGTTTTAAATTAATTAACTTTTTATATACTTACATATCACATATTGAACACTTTCTACTCTTAAACTCATACCCTGGATATTCTTATAGTTTAGATTTACACACATCCCCAGACATATTAACTAATAATTTAAAGAATTGTGTAGTATAAGAGAACCTGCCGAAGTTCCAATAATAACCAAAATGTGAGTGCGTAGAGTAGTAGTTCTTAACGTTCCTAATGCTGCCACCCTTTAATACAATTCCTTGTGTTGTAGTGACCCCCCAACCATGAAATTATGTTTGTTGCTACTTCATAACTGTAATTTTGCTATTGTTTTGAATCATAATGTAAATATCTGATATGTAGGATATCTGACATATGACTCCTGTGAAAGGGTCATTTAAGCCAAGGGGTCATGACCCATGGGTTGAGAATCACTGCCCTAGACTCAAGTCTGCTCATATCACCTTCATACACCCTTGCCTAGCTCTGGACATTAAGTTCTGGCTTTGTTTGTTGAGTTCCCTAAAATACTATCCTCTAGGACTTCACTTTAAGACCTAGATCCAGATACTAACCCAGTATGAGGCAGGCTAGAATCTCACATCAAATACACAAGCAACAAAAGAAATCAATATGCCAAGATCACAGTAAAAACCACAAGCAATATGAAAGTTCTTTCCACCTCTTCTGAAGTGTTCCCTTAGGTGAGAGAAATTTTTTTTGTAGATGTATCCATTTAGACTGAGACCAACAACTTTGCATTCTGATTGGTTGTGGTTTTCTGTAGTGGTCTCCATCTGTTGCAAAGAGAAGTTTCATAGATGAGGGATGAGGACTGCACTTTTCCTTTGTGAGTGGTTGTCAATTGAGATAATTTCTTATTAGGGTTGGGGAGCCTATGTTCCCTTCCCCGTCTCAGTGCTGGAACACCATTTGGCTGAGACCTGGGTAGGTCTTGTGCACGAGTTTATCTGTTAGTCTTGTTGTGTCTGGAAGACACTATTTTCCTTGTTGCTACCCCATCCCTTCTGAATCTTACAGTCTTTCTGTCTCCTCTCCCACATAGCTCCCTGCTGTGGGATGGTCTGTATGTCAAATTACTCTGATGGTCAATAAATAAAACACTGATTGGCCAGTGGCTAGGCAGGACTAACAGTGAGGAGAAAAGAAAGAACAGGAAGGCGGAAGGAGTCACTGCCAGCCGTCGCCATGACAAGCAGCATGTGAAGATGCCGGTATGCCACGAGCCATGTGGCAAGGTATAGATTTATGGAAATGGATTAATTTAAGCTATAAGAACAGTTAGCAAGAAGCCTGCCACGGCCATACAGTTTGTATGCAATATAAGTCTCTGTGTTTACTTGGTTGGGTCTGAGTGGCTGTGGGACTGGCGGGAGACAAAGATTTGTCCTGACTATGGGCAAGGAAAACTCTAGCTACAGCTCCCTGAACCTTGAGGGGAGGAGTCAGATGAGGATAATCCATTTAGGACTGAGTGCTCTAAGGTTTCTCACTCTACACATTGTTCAGCTATAGACTTCTGTATTATTTCTTATCTACTGCAGGAGGAAGCTTCTCTGATGTTGGCTTAACAAGACACTGATCTGTGGATGTAGCAAATGTTGTCAGGAATCATTTTATCGCTACGTTTCTTTAGCGGAACAATAGTATTGGGTTTTCCCTTAGGTCCATGGCCTATTGGGTCTCAGGTTCTTGGCCACCTGAGCAGTGTTGGGCTTGGTTTCCATCTCATGCAGTGGACCTTAAATCCAATCAGACAGTTTTTGGTTATCACCAAATGTTTGTGCCTCTATTGCGTCAGTGTTATATTTCTTTGGATTGCGCTCTTATTTATGGGAAACTCTGAGTTTATTTTCAGCTATTGTGTTATTTTTTTTCCAGTTGATATCTTTGAATTGCTCTTTCTTGGTTTGGCCAAACACCATAAACCATGCAAGAACCCACCAAACTTAACATGAAAATACCCATTCTCATTCATGAGGATTATTTTCTATACTAATTCTACATGAATGTATATGGTAAATATTAGGTTTCCATGGAATTCACTATTCCTCTCTTTGACATTTTTAGACAGCCCCAAAGAATATCCTCTATCAAAGGTAATTAATCTTTTATTTTTTCTGTATATCTAACCTCATCTTTCATGAAATGTTCAAGAGTTACGAAAGTACCGTATTTCTAAACCCATACAGCCTACTCTTGAGGAAAATGATTCTGTTCCAAACAAAGTCCCTGATATAAAGTGTGGGAGGTGGTTCCAAGAAGGTGAGTTAATAACATTAATCTTTATGGAACAAGTAAGTATAAATGTTTGAAATGTAATTTCATTACTTATCCTATAAACAAGTAGTTCTTTTTTAAAAGTAGATTCAATAATCTACCTTTTATCTTATCATATCCAAACTCTCTCTTTTTTCTGAGTATATTCAAAATTCTACCTTTTATCTTATTTCTATATCTTCCATTTTTTGGAGTAGATTCAATAATCTACTCTTTTATCCTATTATTTCTATATCTTTTTTTCAAAGTAGATTCAATAATCTACCTCTTATCTATATCCTCTTTTTTCTTTTTTCAAACATTAATAGTTTTTAACATTGATTCTGTCCTCATATTTACAATTATCTAAGTTGTAAAAATGAATATGAAGGATATTTTTTCAAATATTAATGTGCAACAATCTTTAAGTTTTATATAAACCTTTGATAGTCTCTTTCCTATCCCTTCAGTATTAACTCTCCTGATGTGACAGAACATTAGTCACTTAGCAGTCTCTTTTACTAATTATTTTCATGGTTTTATTCTTTTTGTCCTCAGTCTTCCTAAGATCACTCTTTAGGGGTCAAATCAAGCTTTACTTCTTGAAGTTCCTGATTTAAACTTTTGCCAATGACTTTTAAATTTCAAGGGTAGTTCTTACTAGGAACTTCATAAATAATTATTGTTTAAAATGAATTTAAGACTGACTGTACAAAGATGAAGGTAAAATTGTTCTTTCTAGTCCAGGAGAAAATGATTATATATGAAGAAGTAACTTATAATTCATGTTATAAAAATATGTGTTGAAAAGTGTTACCAGCATACCACAGACAGCAAATTATATCTTATTACAAAAATATAACCACAATAATAATATTTTCAAATATTATATTAAGTCTTAGGTGAAAAAAGAAGCTTTTCAAAGTACCAGATAAGATAAAAATTTTAATGTAAGGAGTAGGGTGTTCACAAAATTAGGTTCGGAAGGGAATAGTTATTCTTTGAAGAAAATGGCTAATTGAACTCCCAAATTCACTCTTATAAATAGAGAATATATTTCAATATGATTTTGTTTGAACCCACATGTTTTTTATTTTTATTTCTGTAAATATGTTCAGCATATTTGGTAGAATAGTTGGGAATGGGCTTTAGTATTTATTCATGCCTGTAACATATCATTCTCTACTGACTATGTGTATATGATATATTGAAGCTTTTTGTAATTACATGGATTTCTCAAGTCAGTCAATATCCAAATAACTTTAATTTTAATCAAAGTTTTTAACTGGAAAATTAAAATTCAGTTTTCATCATTTTGGATATTCTATAGGCATATAGACTATGATTCAAAAAAGTCTTCTGAGAGTGTTTTAATTATCTATATGGATTTCTCAGCAGAATCAGCTGTACACGTGCCATCAGAGGAAGAGCGAAAATGTCATGATGTTCCTGAAAAGAAACATGGAGTGGTACATAAGTATTTACACTGAAATTTTTGTTTAAGATAATTTTCTTTGGTAAATGGTGTACCACAGTGCACACAAAAATTCTCTAGACTGCTCTTGAGAATCAATAGATCATAATTTAAAAAACTTATTTCAAAATTTTTATTCTGATTTAATACTTTCTTATCCCATAAGAACATATTATACCTTATAAGTTACACAGCTTAAGCAAAACCCTGTCCTTGGATTTACTTCCACATTTTCTTCATTATTTTTGCATTCCAATCCTAGAAATTCCTTACATGTTAAACATCAATCAAAATACTTTTGATTAAACAGACAATGTAGCAGTGTTTGCTCCTGAATTTATTTTGTGCCTATGTATTGTCATCCCCAGTCACTCAAAAGTTGAGTTTAACTCAAATTTGAAATACCAGCCATCACCTGAAGTTTCAGCTCTTCCTTTGTTACCTAGTAATCTTCAGTAGTCTTATGGCAGAAAAGAGGTGAGCAACATCATTGCCTGTTTAATCACACTGTAGAATGGAACTTGTGCTGTTCTGTTACAATGTATTGAATCTTATATGCATTTCAACAATAAAACCATTAGTATAATAAACATGATACCCACTGACTTTCTTGGCATTATACTATATCAAGACTCAATATAATACAAAGAGCATACATGTGTGCTACTATATGGTTTTATAATTATACTAAACAATTGAAAGACTCATGATGTTGTAATGTAGCTGTTAGTACTTGAGGCCTCTTGGCATAACTTTCAATTGTTCGGACTTTAAATAATTTGAATAATTTATTCAGTATTAAGCAAGTGCTAGGCTGTGAGATCCTGGGGGTTGTGGTAGAAGGTGGTAGTATAAGAGCAAAACAACAAAATAATAGGAAAAATAGCATAAACGTTATGTAGGAAGAGACAATATCGTATTAAGTTGGAAGGGTTTGTGTTTAAGTTGGGTGTGGTAGTGACAGAGAAAATTTTTATTGCAATAATATATTTTGGGATGTGACTGTGAGGGTCCCAACCAAAGGACAAAGAAGGGGCCATGGGGAATGATGTCAGAGAACATGAGGAATAAGGTAACAGTGGCTCATAACTGTTACCCATTTGAGACTCAACATTTTGGACTAGCCAGAAAACTTGAAGAAATAATATCATCATCATCATCATGGTCATCTTGCAGCTTATAGAATATGGAAAATAAAGTGTGTAAAAAAGAACCTGGTGAATTTCATACACTTAGAAGAAATGTTTTTATGCCTTTATTTGAATTAATGCTTGCTCTATTTTTTGTATTTCTTCAATGTGAAAGGCCTGCCTATATTACCTCATATTTACATGTTATTCAAATATATCCTAATTTTTTTCATATTTCTTCACTATTTCATATAGCTGATTTTTTTCCATAGGGAAAGTTTCTCACAAAATATTTAGGCCTTTAATCCCAAAGGGAGCCTATATGACATTTGGTTTGGAGTAAATGTCATGTACTTTGAAGCTTCTTAGATATCTTTTTTAAACACCCAAGGCATTTCTGCCATTGAAAATGTTTTAAACATTTTGCACAGTGCTATTGCAAATTCCCATATGGGATTAAAAATCATTATTGTAAAAGTCCTCACAGTTTTCTGAGGAGTAAATAATATTTAGGTATTTTGAAACTAATTTTTCTTTAAAGTATGCACCTTGGATACCCTCTGTCCATGGATATATCATCTTTAGACTTCCCTGGCTTGTTTACACAGTCAGAGAACCTAAGCAAATGCAATATGGTCTATATTTAGAAGACACATATAAGAGATTTATTTATTTTTCTTAATTTTTAGTACTTGCCAGTTGTAATGTGAATACCTTGTTTAAAACATTAAAGGAAAAGAAAATCAGAAAATCTCTAGGTAATCCATTACCAATGCTAATTTTAACAGAGTATGTTCAAGCAACTTCAACCAAAGGATATTGCATATTTATCCAAGGCTAATGATGAAAGTACAGAAAATACTGCTGAAGACCAAGAGGAAGGTAACAACTCAGTTTTATTAAAATTTCACTTGAATTTGACATGGTGGTGCAAGCCCATAATCCCAGCACTCAGAGAGAAGAGGGGAGAGGACTATTGTAAGTTTGGGAACCTGGTTTTAGGAACTCTGTCTGTTTGTCTGTCTGTCTATCTCTGTGTCTCTCTTTCTTCTTTCTTTTCTGACCTGGGATACAACCTTAAGCTTCCTCATGCTCTTTACCTTTCCAAAAGCGCATGTTTCTTAAGTTCTTTGTATCTTACCTGTTCCTGTCTTTCGTTAGGGATCTGTGTAAGAACAGGCCATGGCCTGTGTTGTACTGACCTGAAATTTCCTCTGCCTAAGAAATTAATCATTACTTTTTGGTTTGGCCTCATAAAAATTCTCAGGATAGTGGCAGAATGCCGATAGGTTCTTTGCCAAGATATCCCATGTTCTGATAGAGTCTTTGTCTTCTTCTAAAACTCTATGAGCCATGCCTCTACTGCTCATGTTCTTCTGAGCTTTCACTAGAATGGCTTATTAAGCCCCTTTTGCAACGTTCAATGGCTTTCCCTGCCCAAAGTTCCCAAATCATCCACATTATTCCCACAAAACGAAAGTCAAACCTAGATGCCACATAGGTCTACCACAGCAACGCTCTTGGTATCAATTCCTGTACCAGTTTCATGTCTGTTCCTATGATTAAAATACCTGGACAAATAACTTAGGGGAGAAAGAGTTTGTTTTGGCTCACAGTTCCAGAGGGATTGAAGAAATCACAGTGAGAACGAAATGGTCAGAGGTAAAGAAATCACAGAAGCAGGAGCAGGGACCCGACAGACCACATTGCAGCATATGTAAACAGGAAATAGAACATCAAGCAAAATCTGGCAATCAAACCTCAAAACCTTCCTCCAGCAAGGCTCCACTTGCTAAATGTTCTATAATTTTCCAAAACAGTGTCACTGGATGGAGAAATATGTGTTTAAACACACAAGGCTATGAAGAATATTTTGTAATCAAAACACAATTGCATAGACTTCTCTTTTTAAACTATTTATTTATTCATTTATTCACTTATTTATTTATCTATCTATCTATCTATTTCTTTTTTGTGGGTAAAATGACTTTTTATTTTTAATTTTTTCCTTTTATTTTATTTTACAATACCATTCAGTTCTACATATCAGCCACAGATTCCCTTGTTCTCCCCCCTCCTGCCCCCCTCCCCTTCCCCCCAGCCAACCCCCCATTTCCACCTCCTCCAGGGCAAAGCCTCCCCCCAGGACTGAGATCAACCTGGTAGACTCAGTCCAGGCAGGTCCAGTCCCCTCCTCCCAGACTGAGCCAAGCTTCCCTGCATAAGCCCCAGATTTCAAACAGCCAACTCATGCAATGAGCCCAGGACCCGGTACCACTGCCTAGATGCCTCCCAAACAAATCAAGCCAATCAACTGTCTCACCTATTCAGAGGGCCTGATCCAGTTGGGGGCCCCTCAGCCTTTGGTTCATAGTTTATGTATTTCCATTCATTTGGCTATTTGTCCCTGTGCTTTATCCAACCTTGGTTTCAACAATTCTCGCTCATATAAACCCTCCTCTTTCTCACTAAATTCTCGCTCATATAAACCCTCTCTCTTTCCACCCAGGACCTAGCCATAGATTTCTGCATCCAGATCCCTCAGTCCTTGGATGGGGTTTCTGGCATGACTATTAGGGTGTTTGGCCATTCCATCACCAGAGTAGGTCAGTTCCAGCTGTCTCTCGACCATTGCCAGCAGTCTATTATGGGGGTATCTATCTATCTATTTCATAAATTATATCCTGACCACAGTTTTCCCTCCCTCCTGTCCTGCCAGTCCTTTCCCCCCATCTCCCTTCTCCCCCAGATCCATTCTTCCTCTGCTTCACTTCAGAAAAGACCAGGCCTCCCAGGGATAGCAACCAAGCTTGGCATAACAAGTTACAATAGGACCAGGCACAAGCCCTCACATCAAGACTGGATGAGCCAACCCAGTAGGAGGAAAAGGGTCCCCAAATCTGGCAAAAGAATCAGAGACAACCTCCATCCTACTGTTAGGAGTCCCATAAGAAGACCAAGCTACACAATTATAACATACATGCAGAGGGCCTAGGACAGACCCATGCAGGTTCCCTGATTTTTGCTCCAGTCTCTGTGAGCTCCTATGAGCCCAGTTAGTCAATTCTGTGGGCTGCATTTTTTGTGGTGCATAGACTTCTCTTAAAAGAATTGTATAAAAGGTCCATTGTGTGCATGCTGGTATGATGTAGAAGGAAACTTAGAGTTAATGAGAAAGAATTGTCTTTGGACAATTCTATTTTAGTACTTCTTGTGAATTATTTGTAGCTGAGGCTCACATGCCTCCTGAGAAGTGAACTGAAATAGTTAGATGTGTAAACTAGAGAGGAAAAACACAGATGCAATCCACAAACAAAGCAAAAAACAAACAAACAAAATAAAAAACAAATGCATTCATGTGTATACTGATATGGAATATTTTCTTGTACCATCACCTGTCATAAATGTCCAATCTTATAAATTTAGAAAACTTTCTTTAATAAGAAAATACTGCTTCATGCTACAGTAATGGGTTTCAAGGGAGATGTATATCAACGTTCCTAATGAGACCCTGACAGAACAAGCAAAGTAAAACCCTATCAAGATCAAAACCTAAAGTAACCATTTCAAAAGATAAACATAAAAAGCACCTTTTCATAGTAATCTTAACGAAAGTACAGTCCATTCTATCATATTTATGCATAATTGATTATATGACTCTTTGGCATTATAGATTCCCCAGAACAACATCTTCAATGGAAGGTAACTCCTTTTATATTTTGTCCTGAATCATTAACTTCTTTTCATGAAGTAAATGAGTTATTGTCTATTTGTTTCTAAGTCCATGCAGCCTACAAATGAAAGAAGAGATCCTGTTTCCAATGAAGGATCAGTAGTGAAGTATGTGAAATCCTTCCTCACAGGTGAATATTGCCATAATTTATGAACTGAGTAGCTCAAAACATTTGAAACGCTTTCTTCCTTCTCATTTCTATACATTCGTTGCTCTAATTTCATGGAAGGATTTGATGTAAATAATGAAAATATTGCTAAACATTGTTTCTTAGCAGAAAATATTCAGAAAAATTACAAACTTGGGCTTAGAGATTTTGAATCTTAAGTCTTAGTAACAGAGCCGTTTCTGCATCCCCGTGGCCCCCAGGGATTACTTGTGGTCAGTTATGAAAGACCATCATGTTTTCAAAATTTGCTAGTTGCTAGTGTGGGGATACAGTGCTTCACAGCTGTGTACTCAGCTGCCTGAGATGTTACAGCAGATACCTCCTATGAAACTATGAGTGTGAAGTGATCCAGAACTTACATACCATATTCCTGCACCGTACATGCACCAATTACACTCATTAGTTGAACTTGGACATGCAGTCAATTGATTGTATCTATGAATTGATGTATTGATTAATTTAGTGCCTTTAGTCTATCATGGTAGAGGGTCTGTAGTAAGGATTCATATACTATAATATGGTAAGCTATATTTTCTTAACATGTAGAAATATCATTCAAAAGCAAAACTGGAATCAAAGAAATCATACTGAATACTACTCTCTACCTTGTCAGAATAACATGGTAAACATCAGCTAGGCATTTCCTTCAGTCCTTACTCTTGCCTTTCAATACCATGTTCTATTGTGGGTTAGTGGAATATCTGCATAGCTCCATGAGATTTATGTGTTTCCATATACCTGACAACTTCTACCCTCCATCTGTACTATGTATTGAGGCTTTTGGTAGTTACTCATCTTCTTAATTTGTAAATATCTATTTTAAATTTTATTTTTGAGATTATAATATAATTACAATGCTTCTCCTTTTCCTTTCCTTCCTCCAAAATCTCCTATATACTACTCCCCACTCTCCTCCAATTCATAGCCTCTTTTCTTACTAGTCAGTTTTGCATGGATTAATTTATATATGCATATATGTATAAATATGAATATAACATGTTCAGTCCATATCATGATACTTGTATATGTGTTTTCAGGGTTGACCAGTTAGGACTGGACAACAAATTGGTGTGTTCTTCCCTTAGGAAGACCATCTCTCCCGTTCCCAGCTTTCTTTAGTTGCCTGTAGTTCTTTGTGTAGGGTTGAGGTCCCATGGTCTTTTCTTTATGCAGTTTTGAATGTTCATTGGTGTCACCCTTGTTCAGCTCATGTTTAGTTAAACATGCTGATGAAACTCTACACTGTAGCTTCTGATGTTACTATGAGACACAGTCTCACAGCAAAGTCCCTGATCCTGTGGCTCTTACAATCTTTCCATCCCCTCTTGCAATGTTCCCTGAGCCTTGGGTACGGGACTGTTTTGTAGATGTACCCATTGGGATGGGTTATAAAAACTATCATTTTTGTCAAACTTTCTTTAAAGTTTTAAAACTAATTATATTACAGCAGAGCCAACTATAAAAGCATCAGAAGGAGAATGGTGTAGTGGCAGAAACATCCAAAGACAGGTATATGAATATTTAAATTAAAACCTTTAAAGACCATTGGTAATCAATGTACCAGGAGCCACATGAAAGTGCCATTTTCCTTGCCCTGGAGAACCAATGGATTATTTAATTTTCAGTTTTAACACCCTCCTTAGTACTTAAGCAGACTGGTATAAATTAAGTTAAAGTATGCTTTTAGATTCTTAAAATGTTTTCCATTATTTTTGATATTTAAAAAGTTATACCAGGTTTGAGACTTATTATTAAGTAGTAGATGTTATGAACAGTATCATAGTGCTAACCCCAGGACTGATTCATTTTAAAGAGCTATCTTTTCTAGTGATTCAAAATTTGATGTTGCCTATGACCACTCAGTACTGCCAAGGTTAAGCTTCAGTTATTTATTTTGGTCAATAGTGTTTTTACTTGTCTCTGCCATGGAGGAGAATAGACTGTATAATTAATCCCACTACCCAGAATGGAGGCTTTGGTGTTCTGTAAGCAAATCAAAAAAAGCTTTCAATAAAGAAATTCATTAAATATAGTACTGTAGTAGACTGACTTTACCTAGCATTACAATGCATAGTGATTGCAGATAGCCCTGAAAATTTACACAAATGCATACCACCATATGGATTTATAATTTTTAGGAATTTTATCAGAATATGCTATTGAAATGTAGCAAATTGTTCTTTGCTCCCTTCAGACATTTTATGTTGGATAATTCCTAGTTACTGAATATCAAGCACTAAACTGTTGAACATTGAACATAGTAAATTAGGTAATATGCTACAGTTTAGGAGCACAAATGTCTAAATAATTAGTGAATATTGTATATGAAATTCCCCACTGAGAAACAATTGATATGAATAGATAGAATGATAGTGAGTGCTGTATTCATGTGTGTATCTGAGTGAGGGTTGACATGCTTGCTCAGAAATGATATCTGTGAATGTGAGGATTAAGTTGCCTCCTGAAGAACTGTGACAAATTCTAGCAAGGGGACAAGAGAGCAAAGAAAACAGTGGTCCACATCTATCTGTTACTTAAATTGGAACTTCCTGGTTTTCCCCGAAGCGAGATGGAATATTACCTTCATGATTGTTTTTAATTCTCATATTGTATGGACAACACAGAGTGCACAGAAGCAACTTGCACCTTATCCATGCTTAGTGAAAACATGTTTCTCTTTGCTATATTAAGGATTGCCATAGTTCTGTGGCTTTGTTTTGCTTCTAAAAACCTATAGGTGATAGCTAATGTTTATGTATTTGTATTCAGTCATAATAAAAATTTTGTATCAATCATTTTTTTATAACCAGCTTTTATAACCAGTAAAAAAAAAAGGACCCAAATATTTACTACTTTAATCACAATGGAGTAACCACCATAAAGTTTTGTTTGAACCAGCCCCATATTTCTTCTTTAGATGTGAAAAATATTGAGGTCATTGGAATTGTTCATAAGTAATGGCATTGTATGACTGACTGGTACACAGGTCATAATTTGATGATATATGCATTTAAACCCTTGTAATTTTGTCGGGAATGAAAATAATTGATATTCTGAAATTAATTCCTTGTTTAATTATGAACATTGGCTTCTCTAATATCTATGCACATGTCTCCTCTAAAATTCCATTGCCAATTTTTATCATCAGAGGCTTAATAAGATGAACAACACTTAGAAAATATATATGAGAACCTATTAAAATTTAGTCTTTCAGTTTTGTGTCCTTTAGTTTCAGTCTAATAACTATTAAAATAGAAAACTCAGGTAATTTCTGAGAAAGTAATTATTAAATGTGTGCAATTCACTACCGATACTAATTTTAACATTGTATCTTTAAACAACTTTGACCAAAGGGCATTGGCAATTTATCTTTGGCTGAAGATCAAAGATACAGGAGTATAAGACCTGATGAGGAGAGAGGTAAGAACTCTATTTACAAACATTACTTGACCACATGCTTATTTACAAGGAATATTGAGCTGTTTTCCCAGTGAAAGAAAATTATTTCTTAAATAATTATTAAGGAAGAGGATATTTTCAATGGCAATAATTTTATCTTATTTTTTCCAAGCAAGTTAACTTGAGATCATCACTGAGAAAGTCAAATGATGAGTTAAATTATGAAGTCAGGGTTTTGGGGAGCAAGAAGGAATAGTGAAATTAAGAAAGATAGAGAAGGGCTGGAAATATGGCTCAGTGAGTTAAAGCATGGACTGTTAAGGCTTGAGTTAGACCCAGGAACCCAGGCGGTGGCAAGAAAACTGACTCTTGGCAATTGTCCTCTGATGTCCACACTCACTCAGTGGCACAAGGCATTCACATGCATCCACATTCAAAGTAGACCAAATGTAATAAAAATGGAAGAAGAAAGAGTATAGGAATCAAATTAAGTAAAGTAAAGCGGGAGTATAGAGGAAAAAGCATGAAAAAAATTTTAGAAAATGAATGATGGTATCAGATCTGTGGGAAGACTCTAGTGTGAGCTGATTGTACAAACGCTGTGTAAGTGGACTGGGTAAAGCATTCCCAGTGAACCTTGTCTTCTTGACCTCAGGGAAGCCATTAACGATTAAAGCAACGAGACATAAAGGTCTGCATTTGATTTAAATAGATAAGTCTGAGCATTGTGCTAAGCCCTGTATTTGAATAATTTTCATCACATAGTGTTAATACTTTTCTTTTTCTTTCTTTCTTTTTTTTTTTTTTTTGAGACAGGGTTTCT